TCTGTATTTCAACGGTGAGAATAAAAATATCCCAGAGCCTTGGGGAGCACGGCCAGCTCCTGCAGGTGGCAGCGGGAAGATCCTGCAGGCAGCTGCAGCGCTGTTGGCGGGGATGGCCAGCAAGCACCAACCAGTGGTCGGCGACCACCTGCAGATCGCCAGTGGCAAATCGCAGACTGCTGGAGTGGGGTGGGGAGCGGAGCTTTAACCGCCTGGCAGGCACCACTCGCAGTGTCAGCAGTGTCTTTTTGCAGGGGGTGCATGTGCACCTGCATGCACCCCCTATGCATTGCCAATGAGTAACTGCACACAAAATGCTTTCATTGTATTTGGTGACCTATTTCTCTAATACAGTGTTTGTAGAATTGAAATCCAAGTCATCATCTCAGAATACAGCCTTACAGATTTTCCTTCAGCACAAACATGTACAGGGTCCCATAATTTGGGGGCAGATGCAACTTCCTTTTAAAAAAAAAAAAAGAGTCTCAACCAGTCTAAAACGGACCTTATTGCATTTTATCCTGGCTTTGGTCCAAACAGACTTATAAACTTCAGTTTTAATTCAAAGCAGCTCTGTGTCAACTAATTTTGGATGTAAGGTAGCATGCATAAGCGACACCACCACTACAAAATTCAATATTATTTTTGAAATGCAAATTATTTCACAATAACAGAACTTACGGACATCTACAATCTGGAAAAAAAAATCCTGCTTCAAAATTATGCAATGCTTTTTCATTTTTAATATTAAAAGATAAAAATGTGGAAGTTTACTCTTTGTTTTGCAAACTGCAAGACGAGATCGGAAGAACCAGCTGTAGGTGAAAGTAATAATCTAATAGTCTATTAAAAAGAGAGAGATATTTCAGGATTGCCATCCTGAAAAAGGAAACTAGCAAATTATGATGGATTTGCCAATGCTATGAACTCAAATTAGGAATTAATGTTTATTTTTTACAAGGCCAAAGCAAAGAAGTGTGTGCTTCAATGGCTTTTTGCTCTCATCCCAAATGATCAGGCCCAGACCCTTAAAAGGCAGTTAGATATTCAATTCATACTGAAAACCTCAACTATTACACACATCTTTGAGGACTTGCGGCCTTACTTGTCTTCTGGCACAGATAAAGCAACTGATCTCAAGAGAGGCAGTTTATGTGTAAGGGTCATAATTTTTAGAAAACTTCCACTGGAGCAGTCAATATCATTACTTAGTGATTAGAGGTTCAGACTCACTTCAAGTTCATCTTTGGAAAAATAAACCTACAGGTTGAGGAAGTAAAATCTGCTAATATTTTCATTTAGTAGCACTTAAAAGTTCTAAGATAATTAGCCCTCTTTTAGAAATATTTCTTATTTTGGGGAGTTATCCAATAAGAGTAGCTAAGAACATTTCTGCCAGGAATTATTTTCCTGGTCATTTATCTGTCCACAGAGTTAAATGCAGTAAGAAGCTTTAGTCATGTGGCAATCAAAGTTTTGAAAAATGCATTCTCCCTTTGCCCATCTTGACTATTTTGGCATCCAGTTTATTTTAGAAATGTTTGCTGTCTGGGATTGAGCTCCGAGGGAACAATCCAACTGTAAATGTCTGAGGAAATTCACTCTACTGCAGAGTACAGACCTATGGGCTACCCAACAGGTAGGCCCGGTTTCTACAGTGATTGCACATGAGCACACCCTCACACCCAATATGCAGTATGCATTCAGTTGGGGAACATGGAGTGCAGATTTAACAGGCCTCACTCATGCTGCTCCTCTATGCTGAAGGCATTTATTTTTCTTATGAAGTTCTAACGTGACAACAAAGGATGCATTTTCTAGCATAAAGGCCTCCATCAGCAAGCTGCATGATACTTATCCCACTGAGCAGCCCTAGTTTCCCCGAGTCAGGTCTTACAGCAGAAAGAAGGCACAAACCAAGTGATCAAGAACATGGGAGAAAGCCTGACAGCTTCATAAGCAGTCTAAGAGTGATATTTTTCTTAATTTTCTGACCAGTAACTTTCAGATGCAATTCCTTTTTTAACCTAGCAGCTTTGGAACCAAAACTGCTACCTACCAATTCCAGGTCTCATCTCCTTACCCACTACACCCTTTGAGCCTCTAGCTTCCTTCACTTTCCTCTCTGGTTTCCTGTCTCTTCTCCCCACACCGAATCATAGAGAAGTCAGGCTGGAAGGGATCTCTGGAGGTCAGCTGGTTTAACTGCCTGAGGCAGGATCATCCTGATCCAAACCATCCTATGCAATCTATAATCTAAACTCTACATTGCCTCAACCCTGAAGCAACACAGACCTCACACTGCAACTTGGCACAGCTGAAGCAGGATGAAGCCAACCTCTTGCTTCTGTGAAATGTCAATATATGCTCAAGATCCTAGGCAGAGAATCTCACCCCCTACTACGAGAAAGGCCCAAACCTCCACAGTCCGTACAAGTCTGATTATGGAGTAAAACTCCTTCCAGATCCTAACTCTGGAAATCAATCTGACCAGGCAGGAGCGCTGGCACACCCCAGTCAACAGTTTTGCTTACCACACCTCTACATGCTTGCCCTTGTTCCCTTCCTCAGCTCCCCCTCCAACTCAGCCTTGGTTGCCCCCATCTCTTCTTCACCAGTAAATATTTCCATGCAAACTGTTAGGGCCAAAGAATGCCCTGGATTTTAACTACCACATACCCAAAACGTTACACAACATATCAACCCAGAAACTGTAGCAAAACATTTGCACGCTTGCCTACGGAAGGAGCCAGAGGAAATTGGTAAAATACAAAGCGACTGGTCCTTGCGAGAAGAAACTAAAGTTACAAGTAGGTTCTTGGAGCAAAATATAGCATCATAGAAAATGACGGTTGGAAGGGACCCCAGGAGGTCACCTAGTCCAGCATTCCTCAACCTGTGGATCGTGATCCAAAAGTGAGTCGCCACAATATATGAAAGGGTTGCAAACAAACTTTAAAAATGGATTCTCCTTTAAAGGAGAAAAATGTGGGAAACTGGGTTTTCCCTTACCGGCTGGAAGAATTCCAGCTTGCAAAAGGGCTGTTTGGGGCTGCTTGGCCCCCCCCACCCATACAACCTGCCCCACAGGACCTGGGGGTGGGGTTCAGTGAGTCAGAAGCGAGGGGCACTGGCAGGGCCAGGCGTGGTTTTCTACTTACACTATTTACTGAGTTGGGACTGATAATTGATGTTTACATATGGGACCTGGTCCAAAAAAAAAAAAAGGTTGAGAATCACTGCTCTAATCCCCTGCTCAAACCAGGACCATCCCCAATTAGATCATCCCAGCCAAGGCTTTGTCTAGCCAGGTCTTAAAACCTCCAAAGATAGAGAGTCCACAGTCTCTCTGGGTAACAGGTTCCAGTGTGTTACTACCCTCCTAATAAGAAAATTCTTTCCAATATTTAACCTAAACTTCCCTTGCTGCAACTTGAGACCATTGCTCCTTGTTCTGTCATCTGCCACCACTGAGAACAGCCTAGCTCAGGGGTGGGCAATTATTTTGGGAGGAGGGCCACCTACTGAGTTCTGGCAAGCCATCAAGGGCCACATGATAGGCAGCCAGGGGCAGATAAATATTAATTTTCTAAATTTTTTAGGGGTCCCACGGGCTGGATAGAATGGCCTGGAGGGCTGCATCCGGCCCCTGGGCCACATTTTGTCCACCCCTGGTCTAGCTCCATCCACTCTGGACCTCCCTTCAGGTAGTTGAAGGCTGCTATTAAGTCCCACCTCAGTCTTCTCTTCTCCAGACTAAGCCCAGTTCCCTCAGCCTCTCCTTATAAATTATGTCCCACAGCTCCCTACTCATTTTTGTTGCCCTCCGCTGGACACTCTCCAGTTTGTCCACATCCTCTGTAGCGGGGGGCCCAGAACTGGACACGGTACTCCAGATGTGGCCTCACCTAAGCCAAACAGAGGGGAATAATCACTTCCCTTCATCTGCCAGCAACACTCCTGCTGATGTTGCCTAGTATGCTGTTAGCCTTCTTGGCAAGAAGGGCACAGCTGAAGGCGTCCATCAGAAGTTAAATGCTGCTACCAGAATGCAGCTAAAGGAACTAAGCGCTGGCATCCAAGTACAGAAGAAAACAGGTGGGCTGGACAGATGCACTAGGACTTCTTACTGATTCAAATCTGTGGTTAGTAAGAATGAAGTGTAACAAATAAGTAATGCATAAACAATAAACAAACAAACAAACAATAAAAGTGATAAAACAGGGATCCTGGTTTTCTCTGATAAAAACAAAATCCTCAATTTTCAGATTAAAAAAAAAAGTAACCCCAGATCCTCATTTTTCTGTGATCAAAATGAAGCACCACTAATATTAGTGTCGTTTCATTTTAAGAAAGTCATAGAAAAATCTGGATTTGGGGTTACTTTTTCTTTGAGCAAAATGAAACACCACTAAGATGCATAATATTAGTCTGCTTCATTCTGATCACAGAAAAATGTGGGTTTTGGGTTATTTCTTTAACCCCCCCCAAAAAATAGAAGATTTTTTTGTAATCTGGAGAAAACCAGGATCCCTGATCATTAAGTAATAAAGTATTAAGAAAACAACAAATAAACGAATAAGTAAAAACAAAACACATAGTAAATACAAAAATAAACGATAAACGGATCATAAATAAAAACCAATATTAAAAAGTATAAGAAATAGTTTAACCGAATAATAAACAACAAAACACACGTCATAACAAATACAAACGTTAAGTAACCAGATTACAAGTAGCAAGCAATAGCTACATTATAATAAATAATGCTAATGATAACTAAGGATGCATTAACCGCTTCTCCACCAGGCACCACGTCCCCGGGAG